TCAAGCAACTCTCCTGCCTCAGCCTCCTGAGCAGCCGGGATTACAGGCATGCGCCACCATGCCATGCTAATTTTGTATTTTTAGTAGAGTTGGGGTTTCTTGGTGTTGGTCAGGCTGGTCTTAAACTCCCAACCTCAGGTGATCTGCCTGCCTCAGATTCCCAAAGTGGTGGGATTACAGGTGTGAGCCACCGTGCCTGGCCTAGTTTATCTTCTTTGGCAAGGTACTATTTTCTATTTTTTATAAAAGAATAATAAATACATGATGATTTTTCAAACAATATACTGGTTTACAAAGTAAAATGTTGAAGTTCTCTCTCTCTCTCAATCTCACTACCCAAAAGTAATCACTGTTAACATTATCTTCATTCAAGACATTTTTTCTATGCATTTACGTACCTACATTGTATATTTTATGCAGTCATATGGCTTTTCTATAATACTATTTTATGAGTTACTTTAAAAATATATGTTAAAGGTATATTACTTTTAATATATCTTGGAGACCTTTCAATGTCAGTAATGGGTGCGGAATATGCCAGAGGATGAATGTGCTATAAAGTAATCAGTTCCCTAATGGACATTTACATAGCTTTTAAAATTTTTCTTTCTTTTTTTTTAACCTTTAGGCAATTCAGTAATGAACCACCTTTTACATATGTACACATCTCTGTACAACAATGCCAGTATTTCTGTGGATACATGCTTAGAAATGGAATTGCTGAGTCAAAGATTACATAATGTAACAACATGATAGTTATTGTCCTCAAACTGCTAAACTGTGCACAAAAGAGGCTGTTCAAATTTACACTCCCATCAAGTGTTAGAGAGTAGTTCAGTATTCAGAGACGCTGTAGGAGTTCCAAATAGGTGTCTTAGGGGCTACTGGGGAAAAGAAAGGGTAAGAAAAGGGCTGGTAGTCCACACAGCAATCTCCTATCCTCTTCAGTCAGAGCCCCTCTCCTTTCATCAACATTACTCATTGGGCTTAGTTTAAAATTCCTCTTGAGGAGAAGTTTCTGGAACTAAACATTTGAAAGCCTTTGAAATAAAAAAATGTCTGTTTTTAAGTGACAAAAAATATTAATTAATAGATTACTTAGGAATGGTCTCAGGTACAAGTAACAGATGACCCAACCATAGCAGATTGAATCAGTGAGGGTACAATTTTCTCATGTAACAATAATCCAGCAGCTGCATTTGTTCAGTGATTCAGTGGCCTTTTGGGCTTTTCCTTAATAGTTACAAGATGACGCCACCTCAACTCAAGTATTATGTTCATATTCAAGACAGAATGAAAGGGAGACAGTTTTCATTAGTCACTCTGGCCCTTTTATCAGAATCACAAAAGTGCTCCTAGAAGCATTCTGCTTCTCCCTGAGATCTTTGCTCATGTCTTATTGCGCAGAACTTTTTTGGGTGCAGCGTCTAATTGTTGCAAGCAAGGTTGGGAAAAGTGGTTCATTTTTTCTGGCTTTTATAGAGGAAGCAGGCGAAAGATAAGTCGGGTGGAGTTGTTGGGTTAGCTGGCCATCATGCTCTGACCCCAAGTGCTCAGAATACGAAAAACTCAAGATGCAATGACAAATAAGGTAGTCCTTATCCTTAAGGTGTTAACAGACATACATGCAAAAAAACGCTTTTACTGGTGCAATAAAAATGTTATATGTCCCAATGCAAAAATATGTAGAGGAGACATTAGAGGCCCAAAGGAGAGAATGGTGAATTCTATCTTAAGTGGGGAGAGGTGGTAGGAGATAAAATAAGACTGTGTCCAAAAAGTGACATTTAAGCAGAGTCTTGCAAAATGAGTAGATGCTCAGTGCATGAAATGTATTCTAAGTAAAGGAATGGAGGTTCTGAGGCACAAATCCATGTGGTACATTCCAGAAGCTGTAAGCAGTTCAGTAAGACTGAGGAGGAGGTTTGGAGCTAGATGATGACCCTGTAGACCTGATGAGAGATGAAGCTGGAGACTGATGCTGGGACCAAGTCACGCAGAGGGCCTCCTGTGTTTCACTGCAAGGACTCAGGAAGCCCTTTTGACCTGAACAGTATCACTGAGATTGTGTCACCTAAGTTGTCCAGTGCAACCACAAAGTGGAAAGCATGTGGAAAAAAGTCTAAAGTACCTGACACCTTTGTTGGATTTCCCTTTCACTGGGTGCAGCTACACTTCAACACCTGAGTAGCCTGCACACCTGACAGCCCTATTGAGTACCTACAACTGAGTCCTTAATCAATCAAATTGAGTTGGACTTGCCACCAACTCCAAGGGAAATATACTGCACTTCTCTGGGCCTCAATTTTATCATCTATAGAATAAAAATTAACCTTTGTAGTATAGAATTTTACTCCCCCCACCAAATGTTTTCAGATGCATGATTCATGAACATCAGTCTGGAACAATTAAAGGGAAAACAACATCAAGAAAGGCTTTTGAGTCAGAAAGATCTGGGTTTGAATCCTGACTCTCCATGTGTTAACTTGCCCTACTACTGTATATGACAACTCCTTGAACTGTGGTTTCCTCATATGCAAAATAAGGATAATGCACCTATCAGTGCCTGAAGCATAGCTAGTACCCAATAAATAGCACTGTTTTTATATTGTTTTAAAATTTGCATCTACCCTATAAGGTAGGTAGAAGAGGTCTAATGTGGCCCTGAAGTTGAAGATACAGAGGCTTACAGATATTAATTTGCCAGAAGAGCAGCCAGCTAGGTAAGTGGTAGAACACGGCATAAATCCAAGTTCTTATTCTTTTCACTAGACAGTGCAGCTTCTTTTCTCCAAGTGGTAGGATGAGATTCAGATCTCTATGATGCCTGTCAAGCAAATGATTTCGTAAATAAATCAGATAGCCTCACACTTTCCTTAAATCTGAGCTCAGGGAACAGACAGGCCTGAGTTATCTCATGCTTTATAATCATTTCTGAATGTGTGACTGGGATACTCTAGCCCTGTGTCCAGTTTTAGCATGACTGTAACCTGCCAGGAGAGGGAGCTCATACTGACTCCATGCTAAAGTTACAGATGCCCTGGAGACTTCAAGGGCTGCAGCACAGGGCGGGAAAGGAAGGGTGGGGCTTCCCTTGTTACCGGTAACGACAGCTTTCTGGGAAGCTTGCAATAATGCATATTTTGGGAAAAACATTGACGCTATATTTTTTTTTTTATAAAAAAGGTAGGATTATGACACAGAATGAAATGACCTTTACTAGGAGGAAGTACAAAGAAAAAAAAGAGGAATTAGCTAGAGCAAAGGAAGACAAAAGGAAATTTGGCACAACAGGGTAGGTTTTGTTAATGCTGCACTTTTATTTAAATAGAAGGTAGACAAATGAAATATTTTTAGACTTGTACTGCAGGAACATAAGAATGGAATGAATGTTTTAAAAAAGTATTCTGAGAACAGAATTAGCATGTGTCCTCCTAAGAGTTATTTCCCTATTTTGCTTCAATAAATATTAACTTGCCATATGTCCAAACCCTGTGCTAGGCCCTAAAGATATGGAAATGAACAATTGAGCTCTTGATCTCAAAGAATGGTCAGTACAGCAGAACAGACTTACACATGAGCAGTAAATTACAGGAAAGCCTGCCACCTTCCATGCACTGGTTGCTAGTAGAGGACAGAGGGGAAAGCTCTTATATCACCATGGGGGAAGTTCAAGGAGTATTTATGATAATTATAGATAATTTTTTGTGGGCACTCACCATCTGACAGGCAGTCTGCCAAATGCTTTATGTGGATGTCATTTGAGCCTCACAATAATGCAGGTGCTATTCTATGATTTTCATTTTTTAGATTTGAAAATAGAGAAACAAAGAAACTTTTCCAGGATCATAAGTGGTGGAGTGAATTTTTTTCCAGGAGAAAACCTGGGCTAAGTGTTAACAACAACGACGACAAATCAGACAAAACTGAAAGAGAAGAAGGATGGTGAAAAGGGGAAATGGGGGAGAATATTCTGTGCAGAAATAACAGTATGAAAGAGCCTGGTCAGCAAGTGACAGCAGATTGCAATGGAAAAATCACATCTTGTTCAATGCATGTGGGGGAGTAGAAAGAATTGAAATTAGAATGATGGGCATGGGTCAGATCACAATGGGCTAGCCATGTCCTGAAAAAGAGTTTGAATTTTATTCTGAAACCACTGAAGCATGAAATAAGGAAAACAAAATAATAAGAAACAGAATATTATTATTGTGGTAGACTGAATAATGGTCCCCCAAAGATGTTCACATCCTGATATGTTGGGTGTTTGGTGCTCATCAAAAAAAGGAGCCCCACACTTAGTTGAATGCCCTGCTGCTGCTCTCTTAAAATTCTTAACAATTTCATTACAAGGGGCTATCCTGCATTTTCATTTTGCAATGAGCCCCACAAATCATGTGGTCAGTATTGCCTAATTCTAACATCAATTCTGAAAAACAAAAAAGTTATACTTACTTTATAAACGAAGACACTGAAAATCTCAGAGAGGGAGTATAATCCAGTAATAAATGCCTTGAGTCAACAGGTAAATTCTGCTGCTTGCCAGTCAGGGCCCCTAGGACAAGTTTACTAATTCATTCTGAGCCTCAGTTTCTTCTTTTGCACAGTAATTATAATATCTACCTTGCAGAGTGGTCATGAGCAGTAGAAATAACACATGTAAAGTACTGACACAGTGCCGGCGGATCTCAGGGACTCAGATGGTAGTTGCTATTGCTCAAATTCCCAGACTTAGTAGGAGCTGAAGAAGGATTTCATGCCTATATTTGTCGTTTTTTCTCTCAGACTTGTATTTTGGAAGATCATTCTGGCAGAATGTGAGCTTGTGAAATGTAAGACTAGAGGCAAGGAGACCAGTTCAGAAACTGTGGGAATGTCATAAACAACTTCTGCAAAGACTGTCCAGCTCTTGCCATCTCTTTTTTCTTTGATAGCTGCCTCTAATACATAGAAGTCATCCTCCAGAGCTGTGTCCCCATCACATGACTCATCTTCCTCACCTTCTTAATCTGTATTGCTCCCCCACAAGATTTCCCCAGAAATTTGGAATTTTGATCCAAGAGATACAGAGGCTGAGCATTGTTGGAACCAAGTCATGTTCATAGCAGACTCTCCAGAGAAGGTCCAGAGCAACCTGCTGCTGCTGAGGTCCACAAGGCCACTCTGAAGCCTGCCTTTCCACAACAATTGCTCAGTTTCTCCTTTCATTCCACGCATGTATACATTCAATAAGTCTTTTTCCATTCCCTTCTGAAGTGACGAGTTGCAACGAATAGAACCCTGATACATGTAACAACGCCACAGTTATTGGGAGACATAGTCAAAACATTAATCAAATTCATGTAATAGGTTTAGGGAGAAGAAGGTGCACATTTAGGAATATGTAGGGTACAGAAGAAAGACTTTGGAGTGACTTCCACATTTCTGGCTTCAGTGACTGGGTTGATGTTGCTACAATCTAAAGATAGGGCATATGGGGAAAAGAAGGAGTGATTGGAGAGGGAACTACTGGACTCGAAGTACCTAAAGGACATTCAAATGGAGATATACAGTTGGAAATTAGATATGTGCTTCTGGAATTCAAGAGAGTGGTCTAGGCTGGCAATATATATTTGAGAATTTTCAGCATTTAGATTGTCATTACAGCCATGGGGGTAAATGAGATTGCCCAGAGTATTAAGTTAAAAAAGAAGGACCCAAGAATGAAATCCTAGATTTAATACCGAAGTATAAGAAGCAGGTAGAAGAAAAGAAACTCTCAAAGGAGGTTTAGAAGGAATGGCCAGGGCAGGAGAAGCAGAACCAGGAGAAGTGCCAAATGAAAGGAGAATATGGAAAAGGACATGACGTCTAAGTCAGTTCAGCATCATTTCCAGTGTCCTTTTCATCTACAGCTGAGGGTGCAGTCACCCTACCAAACATACCTCCTGAGCTCATGCTCCCCAAACCTGGGGAATTTCTTTCTTTCTTGTTTTTTTAAGATGGAGTCTTGTTCTGTCACCTAGGCTGGAGTGCAGTGGTGCCATCTTAGCTCACTGCAGCCTCCTGGGTTCAAGTGATTCTCATGCCTCAGCCTCCTGAGTAGCTGGGATTATAGACACCTTCCACCATGCCCAGGCTAATTTTTATATTTTTACTAGAGATGAGGTTTTGCCATGTTGGGCTGGTCTTGAACTTCTGACCTCGGGTGATCTGCCCTCTTTAGCCTCCGAAAGTATTGGGACTACAGGCATGAGCTACTATGCCTAGCCCAAACCCAGGGAATTTTTTTTATTTTTTATTTCTATTATTTTTATTTTTATTTTTGGAATGCTTCACGAATTTGTGTGTCATCCTTGCACAGAGGCCATGCTAATCTTCTCTGTATTGTTCCAATTTTAGTATATGTGCTGCCGAAGCAAGCACCCAGGGAATTTTTTTAAGCTCCATCTTCTGCCCTTTGCTATGACCCTAGATTCTCCTGCACTTCTTGGCTTTTTTGGATGGATGGCTTAGAGTCACACCTGAGGGCTGTTAAAATATTCTGAGTTCACCAACAATAAAAGAAATGCAAATTGAAACAACCTAAGATTGTTAAGATTCAGGCCAGGTGCTGTGGCTCACGCCTGTAATTCTAGCAAGTTGGGAGGCAGAGGCAGGCAGATCAGCTGAGGCCAGGAGTTTGAGACAAGCCTGGCCAACATGCCGAAACCTTGTTTCTACTAAAAAATAGAAAAATTAGCTGAGTGTGGTAGTGTATGCCTGTAATTCCCAGCTGCTAAAGAGGCTGAGGCGGGAGAATCCCTTGAACCTGGAAGGGAGAGGTGCAGTGAGCCAAGATCATGCCACTGCACTCCAGCCTGGGCAACAGAGTGAGATTCTGTCTCAAGAAAAAGTAAGAAAAGATAAGGTTCAATTATGAACCTGATGTGGTTTGGCTGTGTCTCCACCTAAATCTCATCTTGAATTATAATAATCCCCGTGTGTCAAGGGCCAGGCCAGGTGGAGATAATTGAATCATGGAGACGGTTTCCCCGTACTGTTCTCGTGGTAGTGAATAAGCCCCATGAGATCTGATGGTTTTATAAACTGGAGCTTGTCTGTACAAGCTTTCTTGCCTGTTGCCATGTTAGACACGACTTTGCTTCTCCTTTGCCTTCTGCCATGATTATGAGGCTTCCCCAGCCATATGGAGCTGTGAGTTCATTAAACCTCTTTCCTTTAAAGATTATCTAGTCGTGAGTATGTTTTTATTAGCACTGTGAGAACAGACTAATACAATATCTATATCATTAATATATACGAATAAAACAACAAAACCTTATATTGGGAGATAAGCATTTGTTGCTGATAGCGTTTTAGGTACAGCCAACTTTTCTGCAAAGTAACCAGGGAAGCAGTACATGAGCTGTATGTGTCCTTTGTTTCACTCTGGAACATACCTCAATGACATAGCTAAAGGAAAAATGTAGTAAGTGGTACAGATTCTAGTCCCACTATTTCTAATGGCACAAAACTGAAAACAACCCAAGTCCTCAGCTTTAAAGTAATTTTTAAATAATGTCTGACTAACTGATTTAGAATGCTGTGTAACCATTAAAAATGACAACCAAGTGAACATGAAAATGTATCTATGAAATAATGTTAAATGAAAACAGCAAAACACACTAAGTGTTGGTGAGGGCATAGAAAAGTGAGAACCCTCAATATATTGATTGGGAATATAAAATGGTGCAGCCACTTGGGAAAACACAATCTGGAAGTTCCTCAAAAAGTTAAACATAGAGTTATTATTTGACAATGCTACTCCTAAGTATATACCCAAGAAAAATGAAAACATATGTCCACACAAAAACCTGTACACAAATATTCATAGCAGCACTGCTCATAATAGTCAAAAGGTAGAAACAACTCAAATGTCCATTGGCTGATAAAATGATAAAAGGTGCTATATTCACACAACAGAGTATTATTTGGCCATAAAAAGGATAAAGTAGTTACATGCTTCAGCATGGGCGAATCTTGAAAAACATTATGCTAAGTGAAAGAAGGCAGTTACAAAAGACCACGTGTTATATGAAACCATTTATATGAAATGTCCAGAATGGGCAAATATATAGAGATAGAAAGTAGATTAGGAGTTGCCTAGGCTTGGGAGGGGTAGGGTGGATGGGAGGATTCAGATGTGATAGTATAAGGTACATGGTTTATTTTGAAGTAATAAAAATGTCCTCAAATTGACTGTGGTTATGCAACTCTGTGAATATACCAAAAACCACTGGATGTACACTTTAAGTAGGCGGATTTTATGGTATGTGAATTACATCCCAATAAAGCTGTTACCAATTTTTTAAAAATTATTAAATGATATGTTTACAGTAGGTAAATTTTATGAAAAAATATATACGTACAAAAACTTCAATAAAGCTTTTTTTTTTTTTTTTAAAGAAAAGCACAAACTAGTCACTGCTTTGTATGCATCTATATTTTTGTAAAGTAACAAAGGCTGGAAGATACGGGGAGTCTGTGAAGGTATAACAGAAAGACACCAGATCCGCAACCTAAAGGCCTGGTTCCCGTCCTCATCCTGTTATTTACTAACCATGTGACCTTGTTCGAGCCTTAGTTCTTTCATTTGTAAAATAGAAGTATTAGTTCCTACCTCACATGCTTATTTTGAGGCATGAATGTTTAGTGGGTTCATTTTTTTGCCTTTTAGGATTGCTTAAGCAGGAGTTTAAAACAAGGTAGCAATAAAAGTGCAATAACATATGTGAAAGAGATTTGAAAGTGAAATCTCCCATGAAAGAATAAGATAGTCTGGATCCTGATTATGCTTCTGGCCTAGAAAACAACATCAGCATAGCCTCAGCCTCAAAAAAAAAAGGACCTTCCTTTTGCCTCAGTGCCTTGAAAAATGCCTTTATAACTGGCCGTGTGAAAATTAAGAAAAGCTTTCCACATTCTGAAAATGTACACTAGTTTTAAAGGTAATTTGGGGGCAACACAAAAGAGCTAAGGTGTGTTAATGCCAAGTTACCATAGCAACATGCTTGGCTGCTCTAGCCTTCCCAATCCTGGGCCTACCCCCAGATGGGATGATGAGCCCAGTAAGCACCAGAACTACGCCATTCCACATGAAATTATTTTCTTCATATGCAGACAGGAGAGACGTTCATGCTTTCCCACAAATAACGTTTGAAGGAAGAAGCGCTGAATGTCTACCAAACAATCTCCTCTCCTTTCTGCAGAATCAGAATCCGGAACCTGTACACCCATTGCAATGCCTGGCATGTGGTAAGTCTTCAACATATAGCTGTTTAATGAATGAATGGTCAGAATTTACCTAGAAGTCCAAGGTTGGAATAGAACACCATTGTTTATTAGTAAGAAGAGACTATTAAATTATATGACAGGAATTTCAGAAAGGGGATTTAAATTCATACTGCACATAATTTGGTGTCTGTTCCAAGCCACACAGCATTTTCACATCTTTATCTGCCCTGTTTGTTAAATTTATTCAGCCCATAGCTAATTCCTCTCAAATATCATGCTTGTTATTCTGAATGGACACAGTGTGACTCCACCAGTGTTATTCAACCTGTTACACGGCACACATTTTCAAAGGCTGTGTGGGAACAGTATGTGAAAACGGCTGCTTCACGAATGTGCTGTCCTCCACCCTTTGGAGTTCTTGGCTTGATCTTGCTGGAGAAGGCAGCCTGAGCCGGCCTGCATCTGGGTGAATTGTTTCCTCCTTGAAATGGGCAGAGGCAAACGTCACTAGTGCCAAGAGGGCTGTTTTTGAAATCATTCTTGTGGGATTGGAAATCCTCTCTGGACTCAGGACCAGGCTCTCAGTCCCACCACACAGTCAGGCTTTGAAAGCAGCTCATATGTGCTTCCTCCATATATTCTTACATTTTTGGTGGAACCTCTGGGTCCTTTCTCTCTTGAAACACATTACCTTCTTAGAATCTCCTTACCCACTGTATGAAACCCCTGAGGTCAAAGGGAAAGAACAGTAAGGTCTCCGCTTCATCACCAGATTTTCAGAGAACTGCTTCAAACCAACAGTGATAACTACCCGCCCTGCCGATCACTGGCACTTTGCAAACACTATCTCAGTTAATCTTCAAAAGTCCTTGGAATACTTGGAAGGCAAGTATTTTTGATTCCCATTTTATCTTTGAGAAAATCAAGGCTCAGACAGATTTTAGTCAGTGGTTGAGCCATTATTTAAACTCAGGTCTAGCTGGGCGTGGTGACTCATTCCTGTAATTCCAACATTGGGAGGTCAAGGGAGGAGGATCATTTGAGCCCAGGAGTTTGAGACCAGCCTGAGGAGCATAACAACACTGTGTCTACAAAAAAAATAAAAATAAAAAAAAGTAGCAGGGTATGGTGGCATGTGTCTGTAGTCCTAGCTTCTCTGGAGGCTGATGTGCAAGGATTGGTTGAGCCCAGGAGTTTAAGGTTACAGTGAGCTATGATTGTGCCACCGTACTCCATCCTGGGTGACAGAGTGAGAATACCATATCTAAAAAATAAGCAGACAAACCAGCTCAGGTCTGAGTATTTGCTTTCATCTAAAATAGCTAAAAACAACAAAAGCAGCAATAACTTTTGCCAGTATCACTCTGCACTAGAGAGTTTAGGGAAAGCCAAAGGAGAAAATCCTGGCTTGAACAATACCCTCACATTGCTTAGACCTTAATCATACTAATTTTAGACCTTAATTGTAGTAGCATATGTGTTGTGGTTGGTGGCAGTAGGAAAGGACTGAGCAGGAAATACCAGGACCCAGATTCTGGCTAGTTAGAAAGATTAACAGATACCAGAGGTAGCTCTGCTTCTAATGCTCTTTGGTTTCTTTCTCTTTCCATCCTTCAAGATCCATCTCTGTGAAAGCTTTCCTGACCACCCACATGATCCCTAGCATCAATCCTTTATTTTGTGCGCCTGTTGAATTTTGTTACATCTCAATTATAGCCCTTCCTTATCACATTTTGTTTTAATATACGTTTCCTAACTGGTTAGAGTACCTTGAGGCCAGTTCCTGTGTCTTAGTCCTCTGTGTACCAAGCACCTTGAACAGTTCTTGGTTAATAAAGTCTCAAGTCAATGTTGCTACTCAATAAATCATGACCTTTATCTTGGTTTTTCAGTTTTCAGCTGGTATCCTCACTTTCCCTACATTCTGACTTGGATGGAACTTATATTCTTCTTGGCTGCCCAGCATCTGAGCCCCTTTCCTGTGTCTGGGGAAACTGCCATCGCATGAGACATGCTGGGAGGTAGAATGTGTCTTCCCCTCATGGAAGTTGGAAAATAGGCCAAACAGTTGCCCTCCT